GGGCTTCTTGAGGGTGGTCTCAGTCAGTTAAGCATTGTTCAAAGGGACTGGGACATCAGCCTTCGCAGGTAAAAGGGGTGCCTTGATTTGGGGTCAGGGACTCAAACAGCCATGCTGGAGGCCTTCACAGCAGGTTTGGCTCCAGTGGGGTTTTCCTGCTGAAAACGTGGCACAAATGTGTCGGACACGTGCTTCTTCTCCAGCTCTGGAGAGAACCCCAGGACTTATAAGAACAACTTGATTATATCACCATTGGAGCCCAGATGTATTATAGTTTTGTAGATATGTTTTTATCTTTTAAGATTATTTTAAAAGAATATTTTTATTTCCCCTGGCCAATATAGTGTTTCTTGGGGGCTTTACTCTTTGATCTGGACTGGAAAAAATGTTACCATTTTAAGACCTCCTAAAACCTGTGTTTGGATTTATTATCTGTACAAATGGAGATTCAGATAATAGTTCTGTTCTTAACTGAAGAGAAACAGGAAAAGAAAATTAATTTCTTGCTTTGGAATGATAAACACGGTGAAGCATATGTCTTATATCCTGGCAACAGGAATTCAAGGTCGGAAATAATTCGTTTCCTCCTGAGTCTGCTTCAGCTTCTCTGAGGAGTGCAGCAGCTGAAATTTGCTACTAATTGTAGCCATAATTTTAGCATGCAATTAAACTCATGATTTCCTTCTCAGCTGATGTCTTTTTAGTTCCTCTGACATGGATGAAACAAAAGCTCTGTAGATTTGAACAGCCATTTTAACCGGCTAGGAGGTCACCAGAAAGTCACCATTATTTGAGTGTGTTTAGCTACTCAGTAGGAACTAGATTAATCTTGCCTATAAAAATGGCAAACAGCTTGGGTGCTTTTAATACAGTTTTCAACACTGCTGTCTGTGTTCTGAAGAAACCAACAGTCAGTGTGCCCATTTTGGTAAGGCCGTCCATGAGGTTAAGGATTGTTAGCGGGAGTCATACAGGTGGGGAAAAATCAGGGATGGATTGTGTGGTTGTTGTGGTGGGAGCAGAGGCTCGCGGAGGTCATCTCATGTTGTGGCAGGTCTGGTGTCTGAGGGACCCCAGGACCTAAGAAGAGAGCCACTGTAGGCTCCAGGCTGGTCTGCCCTGTGCTCGTGTTTCCATTCACTGCTTTTCTCTTCTTTGGCCTCTCCCAGAGGGTCATTCATGCGATAAAGGATGTTCTGTGTGACTTAAGGGCTCCGTCCCCAGGGGAGTTTGAGATTCCCAAACCAGAGCAAAGACGCTAAATAGGCTTCTCTACTTAAGGGTGTCTTGAGAGCCAGTTATATACTGCTGTACATCATGATTCTAGAAGGATGAGTTCAAACAAGCATGGTTTTCAGAAGTATGTGACTGTGACATTCTTTATTCAAGAAACACCTGGCAAGACACAGTTTGGGAAGTGTCACTCTGGTTTTATGGAGGCTCTTGAACATGACTTCATAATAAGAAAGGCAAACACTGTTTTTGCACACACTATGTGCTAGCCACTGTCCCAAGCACTTTTATGCACAACCTCGTTGATCTTTCACTATGAGTAAGTACGTCGTCTTGTTTTTTTTTTTTAAAGATTTTATTGGGGAATTGGGGGAGGGAACAGCGTTGGGGAATTGGGGAAGGGGAACAGACAAGCTGCTGTCCTTTTGTTCCTCAGTCTAGTTGTGGAGGACGTCACTTCACTGGCCCATGTTGACATTGTGATCATTGCGCTTTTCCCGGCTGAGGCAGATCGGTCGCCGGCCATTGGACGGCCGCTCACGCTGGCTGCTGGCCACTCACGGTAGCTTACAGTACCCCACTGCAGCCCCACTGCAGCCTACGCTGTTGCCGGTGACTCACAGCAGTCCAGCTCCAGGTCGAGCTGTTGTTCACCATCTTAGCTGTAGAGGGCACAGTGTCACTGGCTCATGTGGGATCCGAACCGGTGGCTCTGCTGCTCAGAGCTCGCACTCCCAAGCCAACTCTTAACCAATGAGCCACTCGGCCAGCCTGTACGTCGTCTTGTTAGAATCCCTGTGATGCAGGCGAGAAACAGCCATTGGGAGGTTAAGAAACTGGCCCAAGGTCTCAGAGCTAGTTAGGGGCTGGGCCTGTTCTCTCTTCCAGCCTGAATCTGGTTCCCCTTCAAGTCTTGGACCCTTTGTAGGCTCTGAGAAGCCTTTCTGAATCTTCTCCCCATTCCCCAAGGTAGGGACTCTGACCCTTCTCTGGCCTCAGGGCCAGAATTTTTCATGGGCCTACAGTGCTGCATCATTAACAGAATGTGCTTGTCTGTCCCCCACACTAGACCATGGGGTTCATGAGTGTCAGGCTGTCTGCCTTTGAGCTGGGTCTTTGGTTTCTGGCACTGTGCCTACTAGCACAGTTGCTGTGAGGGAAAAGTGGTGAGTGATGTTCAAATGTGAACTGGGTCTCATACACCCTCTTTACTCCTTAATAATGGTGGATAGGGGCAGAAGAGTTCTGATGGTTCTTGGTTTCTGAGGACTCACACTAATTTTCCTCTGTGGACCCAACTCTTTTCTTAATTTTGTATTTATCAGAGGTGGTGTGCAAATAACCATCCCTACTTGTCAAAAACTATTTTCCCTTGTGTAAATATCCATGTGTGTCACCAGCAGTGTTTAGGCCCAGCGCCTAAGAGAGTTCTTTGGATGGAGGGAGTTGATCTGATTATTCCATGGCATCCATCTCTCAAAACATATTCTTGGCTTTCTTTATAAATGTAATTCAGCCTTTGTGGCTTGTACAGACACAAAAGAGTAGGTTTGGGTATTAAAACACAGTTGGGAACAGGACACACAGAGGTGCTCTTTTCTGGGGCAGCCTGTGGCCAGTTTGACAATGGATTTCTGGGGACAGGATGAGGAGGGAATATGGGGCAGGTGGAGATGAGTGGCTTCCACCTCTGGGCAGTCCCTTCTGTGAGGAGTGAGGTATCTCCTCAGTTCTCTACATTGCAGTGCCTTCTGGAGGTCGACTGGCCTTTGGACTCTACAGTGAGGGAGCAGGACCTCCCTCCTACTTTATACTGTGTGGAACTGTGTGGCAATTATAGGGCAACTTATGAGGTTATTTTGGTGGAGCCTCCTCGATAACCTTCTTTTCTTTTATATTTAAATTGTATAAAAATTTTTAACTATGAAGCATACAGAAAATAGCTACCTGTATACTCACTACCCAGTTGGTCACATTTACAAGGTGTGATAAAAAAATACAGTGAATGTTTAAATGAAAAAAAATTATTACAGTAAAAGACACATTGCCATTAATCCCTATCAAAATACTCCTTCTCTCTTCGAACACACTTATCCCATTGTTCTTGCCACTTTATGAAGCAGTTCTGGAAGTCCCCTTTTGTGAGTCTTTAGTTGCTCTATCGTCGCTGTCTCCATGTCCTGAATTGATTCAAAACGTTTACCTTTCATGGTCACTTTGGCTTTGGAGAAGAGCCAGAAGTTGCACGGTGCCAGATCTGGTGAATCAGGTGGATGAGGACACACTGTAACCTTTTTATTTGACAGAAATTGCTGTACCAGAAGCCATGTGTGACACGGAACCTTTTCATTGTGATCACAAAATATAGTGAATGCTGCTGCTGAGTGCCATCCAATGGAAAGGCAAGGATCTTAAATATGGGAAGTGGTGCATTGAACCTTAGTAACAGTGTGTGACAACTTTCAGCTTACTTGGTGCAGTCAATGGGGTGTGAGCTACAGTTGAGAGAAGGTGTGTTTTAAAGTGTGCTGTAAATCACCCTCCATCATGACAATGGTCTGTGTCGCTTCGGGTCAACAGTTTCTGTCCAATAAAAACATTACGGTGTGTCCTCATCCACCTTATCCACCAGATTTGGCACCATGCAACTTCTGGCTCTTCCCCAAAGTCAAAATGATTCAGGACATGGAGGCAGCCACAACAGCGCAACTAAAGACACTCACAAA